TGACCGGGGCAGCGCGCTCACGGGGGGGGAGGGGGCGTGGATATTGAGGAGCTCCCAAGGGTTGTATACTATCCTATTTTTGTGACCTCGTAGTAATGTCCATATCCATGCTTGCCGCGATCGTTTCGGCCCTCTATCTAATTATTATTATTTCCAATCTCTTTCTACGAGTTCAAGGCTATCCTCTAGATGATCCCGAAGTGTCTCGTTTTCGTTTTACTCGTGTCTCGCTGCTAAACCGCTTTCTACGATCGTCGAGCGTTAGTTGGGGCTCTTGTCGGAACCGGTTTTCGACATGTGTTGGGCCCCGCCAGTTGCGACAGTTGTGGAGCTCCTCCTTCAACAATGATTTTTCCTTAAATTTGTTTCTGTTTCCTTCGAAATCGAAAATTTCTGTTACGCATAATACGTACATCGGTCCCGACCCCCCCCCCCGCTCTTCACCAACCTACTCTTGACCGACTCTCAACAAGCCCACTTCGAGGTATGACCTCTTTCCTCACGATTTCAAGCACGATACGATATGTTTTGTCGGTTACCATGCCTTACTCTTCTCCCCACCGTCCAACACGTGCAAGGTTTGGTAGTGATGTCGCGTTGGCGTGTTTGGACTTCGTGGTTTTAAGGGCGTTTGTAACACCAAGAGGAGAGAAGGGCACTACTGCACGTTGTTCTGAGAGGGTCGAGAAGGTCGAATTGATCCATGTAGACCCAGGACATCTTTGTACGGAGAGTGCATTCTTACGACTCCTCGCCAAAAGATCTTCCACCTCTGAGCCGTGTGCTCCCTCCCGCTTCACAGTAGCGCTTGTCTCCGGGAACAAACGAAGCCGTTCTTGTTGCGAATCGGTGTTTTTCTGTCTTGAGGGGCAGAAGCACCATCGAGACAGCTGTTCCCGCACTGCGAAGGAATGTTCTGCCAGGATGTATCCTACCGGGCGGGTTCCGCGGTAAAGCCGAATTTATTTGGGGGGGGGGGGGACGGATTGTGACCATCCCCTCCCCAACATTTGAAAATTAAATACAATGATCCTATGTCATACTTATGATGATATGCAAAATTTTAAAAACAAACTCGATGGTAGTGGCCGGGTTTCAATAGATTATGCTCTTTTTCGCTCGCCAATTTGCGAAAACGCACAGACCGGGGATGATGCCAAAATATCCCCGGTTTTGAAAAATCGTCAGATCGATCTGAAAAATTCAGGGTTTGTCAATTTTGGGGCGGGGATCACGAATCCGTCGTTGGATTTGTTTTTCTCGCGTTCTGAACAAAGTTATGATGGGTGTTGTACGTTACACTTTTCTCGCCGCCGCCGATTGAAGCACAACAGAAAAACTGCAAGTTTACAAGTCGCAACACGCACAATCTCCACCAAACCACGCGCTTATCTCCACAAAATACAGCAAAAATGCAAACCAAGATTTGAACGCACCATCACCCAGCCCCTCAATAATATCTACTTGCTGCTACCGCAGAATGAGACCCCAAACTGTGTACCGGTAACCCTGTCCATCTGGCAGGTGGTCGCCCCCTTCCGGAAAACAATTTTCTTCGCCTTCTTTTTGCTCCCGACCACAGGATCCACCCCAACCACAGGATCTACACCAGTGACCATGATGACT